GGAGGGACCAGTCACTGGAGAAGGATATCATGTTTGGTAAGGTGGAGGGTCAGAGAAAAAGAGGAAGACCACCAGCAAGAAGGATTGGCAAAGTGGCAGCATCAATGGGCTCAAGTGTGGCAACAACTGTGAGGTTGGCCCAGGATCGGGCAGTGCTTTGTTCTGTTGGGCCATAGGGTCATTATGTGTCAGTACCAACTCGATGGCACCTAACAACAACAACAACAACAACAACAAAGGCAACCTCTATGCCCTTCCATATTCCTCTCTTGCACTCATTTTCAGAAAACCTGGCTGGCAAGACCAACTGGTTGAAATGGCTTTCTGCATCCAGGCATGTGCCAGTCTTTGCTTGGTTCTTAAAGTATGGCAGGATCCCACTCATCTCAGAGCCAGAGTCAGCTGCTTAAACCCTGTTCTGCTTCTCCTGCCAGTGGTGTTGCATAATACCACTCTGTCTGCCTCTACACTTTGTTTCATCTCAGTGATTACAATCTCTGCCACGCAACAAGTTATCTCATTTCCCTCCTGTAGTTCCTATTTCCAGTCTGCCTTCCTTCACATCCTTTCTTAACTTTGTCCTTAGGTAAATCTTGCCCTTTTTATCTTGAATGATTCATCAGTTCATGGTGAGCATAACTTATTAGTGTTGTTGTCCCTCTTACATACAGATCTACTATTTAGCTATCCAATGACCAGGAGGGAGAGCTCCATTCCAGACCTGAAGGGTGTTTGAGGTGAGGGTTATAGTCTCAAGTTTCTCTAGTTTCTTTCTAACTAGTAAGCCCAATCTTTTTAAATTTTTAAATAATTTTGAGTTTTTTCTCACCTTTTTTGCCACTCTATCTAAGACCTTCTAATGTGATCCTTTTCAGAGTAGTTGGTAGTGTATCTGGACATCATCTAGTTCTTCTGGTCTCAGAGTAATAGTAACTGATATTTACCTGCTCCAGTGGTCTTCTGGATTCCACCTTCAATTCTCATCACTCTGCTATCTTCCACACATGAAAAGACTCATAGTTGTACCAAGCTACTCATAAGGGCTTCGTTTATTTTATGTGGAGGTTTTAGCAAAGATTTCTTCCTCCCTAAGTTGTGTCTGAGCAGTGCAACTTCAACTTGCTAGCCATAACAAGTCACCATAAAGACATATCCTCCAGACCCAGAGTAGCCTGCAGATGATGTGCCCAGATACCTCATGAGAGGGCTGAGTAAGAACCACCAAACTGGCATTTCAGCTGACTCTCAAAGGTATCCAGGGCTGTTGCCATAACGTCAGGGCTTACACTGGGAGCCCAGGACCAGCAACACCACCACCAGATGCAGACGTTTAAGTATTTACTCTTAAAAACTTTTTGTAATAATACCTGTCTTAGTTTCCCAGTACTGATGCAACACGTATATCATAAATGGTAGCTTTAAAGACCAGAAATTTATTTTTTCACAAAAATGCAAATTATGGCCTTGGCCATATCAGTTTCTTCTGTGAGTTTCTCTACTAGTTCTGGTGTCAGCAATTCTTGGTGTTTCTTTGCTTGTAGAGGTCATATATACTCATGTCTTCTGACTTGACTAGTGTGTGTCTCTGTGTTATTAGATATAGAAACACTCAAAGATGATCTAATTCGCATAACATACCATCTCCAAACAGGACTATATCCACAAGTGCAAGGACCAGGAATTCAACTCATAGTTTGGGGGCACAATTTAATGCAAAACATTACCTCTTTCCATGAATTTTCTGTAAGGGAGGCCTGGTTCATTAGCTCCTCCTCAGCTATCCCACCATTGTTAGCTGGGCTAAGGAAACAGCTTCACAGCAGAAGAATCACTGTTATCACAACATATTCCTTTAATTTACCTGAATTTCCAGAATCTGAAACTCAAGTTGAAATGTAACCATACGGCAACTTCCTGATAATCTGTGTCTTTGTAGAACTTGTCTTATATCTATAAATTAGAAAAACAAACATTTTAGTTGTAAATAAAAATTCTCTTCAAATACCTACAATTTAATTTTGTGTATTTATAATACAAGTAGCTATATATGAGAGACTATCTGTTAGTATTTACAATGAAAGTCTAGAACAGAGTGTACTAAACTGATTACCTTTGCAAACTTGTACTTTCTAGTTCTCAACTATATCAAGGTAAGAGATGAAAATACACTAGTATATCAAGGTGGTAGTGGTGTACCATGGTGTCAGTTCCAACTCATAGTGACCCTGTATACAGTTTCTGAGGCTGTAAATCTGTACAGGAGCAGAAAGCCTCTTCTTTCTACTGTGGAACGGCTGGTAGTTTTGAACTGCTGACCTTGAGGTTAGCAGCCTGACTCGTAACTACTATGCTACCAGAACTCCTTATATAAGTTTAAATCATTATTGTTGTTGTTGTTAAGTGCCATCAAGTCGATTCCGACTCATAGTGACCCTGTATAGGGTTTCCAAGGAGAAGCTGGTGAGCTTGAACCACTGATATTGCAGTTCAAACGACTTTGCAGTCTGACGCATTAGCTCACAGTGCCACACCAGAACTCCTAAATCATTATTAGATGTTTTGTATTTTTTCAACTTATAATGGTCTAGTTAAAGACCATAATTGAATCTATGAGCACATCTCTCAAAACACCATTAAAATGATAATGAAACATTTTGGTGATATAACATACATGCACTTAAATGAATAAAATACCTAATCTTAACTATGTGCTATTAAGTGCCACTGAATCTGTTCCAACTCATAGTTCCAACTCATATAGGATTTCTAAGGAGCAGATGGTGGTTTTGAACTGCTGATCTTGTGGTTTGCAGTCCAGGACTGATCCTACAGTTTCACACCAAGCTCTGAGAGCAATTCTCAAAGAAAAAAGCTAATAGTTCTTTTTACATACATGTAACCATCACAGAGATCAAAATACAGAATTTTTATAACATTCCATAAAGTTGTATCATGTCATTTTCCTAGCTATTCCCTAAGAGGTAACTACTATTCTGACTTCATTATCAACTAGGTTTGCTAATGAAGGTGTTTTGTAAAAGACGCAGTTCTACAAGGATAAAGAGAGCATGATGAGAGCAAACTGGATACTGGAAATCAAATGGGTGAAGTAGATAACACAAAAACAAGTGGAACTGTCCCTGCAAACTCAGGAAAGCCAAAACCCAAGCATCAACGGAAAAAGCATAGAAAAAAGCCAATTTATGTAGCAAAACACCATAAATGTGTTTGAGTTGACAGCACCAAGTACCTCTACAAAAAGGGATTTAAATAGGAATATTGGTTAAAGAGCTTTTGAACAAACCATCTTTTTTTTGTTAAGTTGTTGTTGTTGTTATGTGCCGTGGAGTCGGTTCCGACTCACAGCGACCCTGTACAGGGTTTCCGAGGCTGTAAATCTTTACGGGAGCAGAAAGCCTCATCTTTCTCCCACGGAAGAGCTGGTAGTTTTGAACTGCTGAACTTGAGGTTAGCAGCCCAATCCGTAACCACTCCTGATTAAATGCACTAGGACAGTCATAACATCACATTTATATGAGTTTTCATCTGAAAATGCATAACCTGGATCTCATCAGAAAAAAAACCACTGTAGGGCATTCTACAATACGACTGGCCTTCAAATATTTCAGTGTCATAAAGACAAGAGAAGAGCTGACCAGATGAAATAAAACTAAAGAGACATGACGACTAAATATCAAGCAATGAATAGCTATAAAGGAGGCAATCAGAAAAATCGTAATAAATCGTATACAAAATCTTATAAAAATATCTTCCTTGATTTTGTTTTTGTATTCCAGAACTGCTTTGTTAAAATTTCATCTGCACATAATCAAGAGTTTTGTCTAGCCCATAATTGGTGATAAATGACTTAGCCAACCTCAAAACACAAATTGTTGTAAAAGCGTAATTCCTTTTTCTTTTTTCGTATGTTTTATTGTTTGTGTTTAAATGAAATAATTCACAAATCACAAAATTTACCCCTTTAAAACATATACAATTCACACTGAATAGTTTTCATCTTGTCTAGATGGGTCTGATTAAGAGATGGTAAAGATTCTTATGATTCAAGAGTGAGTAATTATCATCATGACAAATTGTGACTGTCACAATTATAAAGGTAGAAGTTTTGTACCAAAAACAGGGGAGCAGTTAACCTTACAGTCCAGAAACAAAGGACCCTAGGATCATCAAGGGAGAAGAGCAGGACCTTATCTAGAGAAGCAGCGATACCCTAGATGGAGGCACAGATGGGGACATGGAGAGGGAGCAACTGATGACTCTGGACTCATGAGAAGAGAGGGACTAAGAGCTGGCGGTCAGGAGGCAGACTTGTAGAATGTGCCCTTTGGTAGTGTAAATTATTATATATGCCTGAGTGTTTAAAAAAGAGCTAGCGTAAATAGAAATACTGTTTACTGATGGTACATAGAGGGGATTATAATCATTGTAATGAAATAAGATGTAAGATTTGTTGAATGTAAAACTGATGATCTGCCCTGTAAACTTTCACTTGGACCACAATAAAAACTTTAAATAAAAAAGTGTACAATTCAGTTTCCAAAAAAATTTGCAAATAACAAAATTATCAAATTCTAGAACATTTTCATCATCCCCCCAAGGAACCCATATCTATTAGCAGTCACTCCCATTGTCCCCTCTTCCCAGCCCCTGGAAACCACTAATCTATTTTCTGTCTCTGTGGATTTGCCAAGTCAGGACATTTTATATATGTTGTTGTTTTTGTTGTTGTTAGGTGCCATTGAGTTGGTACCGACTCATAGGGACCTTATGCATAACAGAACAAAACACTGCCCGATCCTGGGCCAATCTCACTACTGTTGCCACATTTGAGCCCACTGATGCTGCCACTTTGCAAATCCCTCTCGCTTGGGGTCTTCTTCTCTTTCTCTGACAGTATGTCCAAAGTATGATAGACGAAGTTTGGCCATCCTGGCCTCCAAGGATGCACTTCTTCCAACACAGATCTATACAGGGTCACTATGAATTAGAACCTATCTGACAGTACTTAACAAAAACATAGTCACAAAGATTTACATCTATGTCTTCCTCAAAGAGTTTCATATTTCAGATCCATTAAGGTCTTTTTGGAAAGGCATAGTTTTACAAGGGTAAAGAAAACAGAATGATAATCTAATTTTGTATGCTGGAAATCAAACAAAAATCAAATTTTTGTGTATGGTATGAGATAGAAGTGCAATTTCATTGTTTTGCATTTGGATATCAAAGGGTCCCAGGACTATTTGTTAAAAAAACTATTCTTTCCTCCACTCAATTGTTTTGACACCCTTGTTGGAAATCAGTTATTTGGAGAGTTGATTAATTTCCATAAATGTGTGAAATTCCCAAATGGCCGTTTGTTACTGATTTATAATTTTGTTTCATTATATGACTTTGGGAGTGTGATGGCTCCATATAATAAACACTGAACTATGAGCCCCAAGTTCCACAGTTTAGCCCCCCAGCCATTCCGCAGGAGAAAGATGAGGCTTTCTACTCCTGGGAAGATTTAAAGCCTAGACAATGGCACTTAACAACAACAACATAACTTTAATACTTTTAAATTTATTGAGATTTGATTTCTTAAGATTACCAATGATACTCACATATGAAGACTGCAGTTAGAACAAACAAATCTTTCTTAGTACAGCCAGAATGCTCCTTAGAAGCTAGGGTGGCAAGACTTTGTTTCAAGTTCTTTGCACATTTCCTCAGGAGAAAGATACCAGGTTTGGTAAAGTAGAAGGTCAGCAAAAAAGATGAACAAGATGGATTGGCACAGTGGCTGCAACAATAGTCTCAAACAGAGCAAGACTGTAAGAACCGAATGGTGGTGGTTATGCACTGTGGAGTCAGTTCCGACTACTGCATAGGGTTTTCTTTACAGGAACATAAAGTCGTATCTTTCTTCTGAGGAATGATTAGCAGTTTTGAACTGCAGACCTTGAGGTTATCAGCCTGACTCCCAACCACTACACTACCAGTAGGTTTGAACAATGTTTCATCCTGCTGTACATGGAATTGATTACTACGAGTCAGAACCAACTCAACTGAAATTAGCAATAGCTTGGACTGAATTATGACCCCCAAAATATGCATCAACTTGGATAGGCCATAATTCCCAGTATTGTATAACTGTCCTCCACTTGTGATGTGTTATGAAGCAGGATTAGAATGGTTGTATCTTCAGTCTGATTACCTTACAAGAATGCATGATTCAAGTCCCACCCTAACTCAAGTATTCAAGCTCTTACTCTAATCACACTCTTGTGCTTTATCTGACAAGAGAAAAAGGGATTTGGAGTGAAAGGGATAACTGAGTGGCTGTGGCTGCTGATTCTGTTCTGGGGAAAAAAGTCTATCTCATTCCTTTCGATTACCCTTGGTGAGGAAAGTCAAGGTAGCTGCTACTGCAGCAAAGGCAGTGGTGATGGTGGCGGCAGCTGCAGTCACATGTCTAGCATGAATCCCGAATATAATTATTTATTCAAGTTACTTCTGATTGTAGACTATGGGGTTGGAAAGTTTTGTCTCCTCCGTAACACAGAAAGCTACATCAGCACAATTGGTGTGGGTTTCAAAATAAGTATAGCGTTAGACGGGAAAACAATCAACCTTCAAATATGGGGTATAGCCGGCCAAAAGATTTCAAACTACCTCCAGTTATTACAAAGGAGCCCATGGCATTATACTTGGGTATTATGTGACTGATCAGAAATCCTTCAATAATGTTAAACAGTGGCTATAAGGAATCGATTGCTATGACAGTGAAAATGTCAACAAGTTGTTGGTAGGGAATAAATGACCACAAAGAAAGTAGTAGACTACACAATAGCAAAGGAATTTGCTGATTCCCTTGAAATTCCATTTTTGGAAACTAGTGCTAAAAATGCAACAAATGTTTCTTGACAATGGCAACTGAGATTAAGCAG